AATTTGAAGTAATCGGACTTTGTGCTAAAGGTGGATTTTCAAATATATATAAAGCTATATATAAAAAAGGAATAATCATTGACTGGGATAATAATAAAAAAGAATTTATTCGCCTTTCTTCGCCTGTTGTATTAAAATCTTTAAATTATTCTTCTCAGATTAGTGAAAGGTTTTTAAAAGAGGTAATTAATAACATAATTAATAATCAATTTTTTTTTAAACTTTTATTTATCTGTTATTGATAAAATTATTATTTATTTCTTTAGGTTGAAAATTGTCATAAAATTAGAGCTTATAATGTTAATGTTTGCAGAGGTATAACTAAGGATCCAAAAAATAATAATTACATGATAGTATTAGATTATGTACCAGAAGGAAATTTAAGAGAATTTTTAAAAGAAAATCGATCAAAAATTTCCTTAAAAGTTAAGTTTCGAATGATCTATTCTTTAGCTATTTCATTATTTCATATACATATACATGAACTAGTACATAAAGATTTGCACAGCGGTAATGTGTTATTACCTGAATTTCATTTCTGTATTATCAGTGATTTAGGTTTAAGTGGACCGGTTGATGATGAAATATCAAATAAGATTTATGGAGTTGTTCCACATATAGCACCCGAAGTATTTAATGAAAAGAAAAAAACTCAAGAATCAGATATTTATAATATTGGATATTAATTTGGGAAATATTTACAGAATATCCACCATTTAATGATATTCCACATGATGCAAATTTAATTATTGAAATCATAAAAGGAAAAAGTCCATTCTTATCAAATATACCCAAATCAGTTCAAAGTTTAATTCAAAATTGCTGGGATAGTAATCCTTTAAAAAGACCACATATTATAAAGTGGTTGAAACTATAAGTAATGAGTATGTAAAAATAAATACTGATAATCAGTATTTTAATGAGTTAAATGAATTAAATTCGCAAACTATTAATATCATTCCTGAAAAACATTCATATAAGTAGAATTTTATATTCTGATACAGTGCATAAAATTTTGGCATCATCATAATGCTCTGGTTGAAGTTAAATAAGAATATTATTTTATTAATTCAAGCTTCATTGAACAATATCTATCTTTTAAACTTGCACTACAACCATTTTCCGTCGGTGCTGAAAGATGCACTTATTATTTTCACACTTGATACAAGCCTTGAACGAGCCAATAATTTAGTGGCAAATGTATTAGATTTTTTCCCGAGATGTTTCTGTTACTTCTATACTATAATTTATTATTCTGTATTATTCTATTATTTACTCCCTTTTTTTTTATAAATAATAAATGAATTTATATTATGTTTAAATAGTGCTCTTTTAAAATGTAAATTTTTTATACGTGTCATCTCATGATTTGTTCGGTAATTCAAGCCA